GGTGGGCTCAGCTCCGGGTAGATGTGTGTGTGTGAGGAGGGAGCCTGTTCTATTTGGGGGAAGAGAGTTGGGGTTTTGCCCTTCCTTAGAAGCTCCTCTTAACCTCACAGAACAGCTGCCTGTGCTTTGGCGTTGGCGGGCCCCATTGAGCCTAGGGTGGGTGGGTATGCTGGGCGGTGCCCTGGGTACCCTCAGCCCCTCTGAGGGCTTGGGGCCTCTTTCTCCAGCCACCTTGCCTAGGATGGCGCACAGTTGGGCAATGGGCCTGATTTAGATCCCAGGCCCAGCTACCTCTAAGATTTGGGCAAAGCCAGGGCTCTCAAGTGCCCACTCTCAGACTCAAGAACAATTGCTACTCCTTCCAAACCAAGAGGGATGTGGGGGCGCCCGCTGATGTCTCCTGGCAAAGCCAAGACATCCCACACTTAATCAACTGTTCTGGCACCGCCACGCCCGACTGGCTCCCTACCTCCAAACCTACATGCCAGGTCCCCCACGCCCGCCAAGAGATGAGTCTTGCAAGCCAAGACAGAGAGTGGGGGCGAAAGGTCAAGAGAGGGGCGAGGCCACCCCTTGGGTCCTCCAGGTCCGTCGGCGGGAAGGGGCGCGGCGGCTAACGCCCGCGGAAAGTCAAATGATTATATTTGGGTGGGTGCTCGCCGACCTATTTACTGAGTAAACCTCCCTCGCTGTGCTAAAGGCGAATCCCCGTTGATAAATCCATCATTACCGTTCGGATTCAGGGAGGCAGCAGCACCACTAAATTTATCTTACATTTGTAGCGCTTTAATAGACATTTATTAAATGCTTTTAGAGAGAGGCATGGGGCGCGTGATTACATCCTAGTTATAGACAGAACATAAAGACCCACGTTAACACCCATTTACAGGAAGGAAGGAAGAGGTGGAGAGGGGGTGGTAAGGCAGAAGGATGAGGCGAAGAGAGTTGGGGCGGGCGGGGACACAGCAGTCTGGACGTTATTACCAAGGGCCGCCTGCCTGGGAGCTAGGAGCGAGGCGCGGGAATCCTGGGCTGAGGAGCAAGATGTCCAGGCTCCCCTTTCAGTTCCCTAGGCTTCTCCTTCCCTTGCCCCCTTCCTTTGTGTGTGTGTGTGTGTGTGTACGCGGTAGTGTTCATGTTCTCTCTGCTGGAGAGCAAGGGATACCCACGCTACCTCCGCTGACCCCTTCCTATCCCCACTCTCACCTACTACTCCTTTACTTCATTTCGCTCCAACTATGACTATTTGGAGTAGCCAAACTAGGGAGAGAGGAGATGGAGCCCCTCTCCACTCCAAAGCCCCAAGAGGCCCTCTGAAGCATTCTCTCCACCGCCCGCACGCCCTACCCTGCACCAGATATCCACCGAGCTGGGTCTGACCTGGAGAGACACAGAGAGAACGTCTGGCCCCTTGGCTGGGAAGCCCGGCTCACCTACCCTGGGCTTGCCCCTCGCCCCTAGACTTCATCCTCAGTGAACCGGGCCTGCAAGGCACTCTGGTCCTCCAAAGGGCCTAACTGCTTTCAGAGTGACCATGGGTCTCGCCTGAAAGCCCAGTCACTAGGCTTCGCCAGTTCAGCGCACGCCCTCTCCGCGCCCTTGCTCCCTTGGGACATAGCCACCGACCCGGGCCGGACAGCAGCAAGTAGAACTCCTTGATAAGGAACACTTCCGCTATTTCAAAGTTGCCATAAGAAAATAAATACAAGTGACATTGTACTGGGCCAAAGCTCATTAGTTCGTTGTCCAGGCCTAATAAAGGAATAGAAGCGCAAATTATAGAGTTCAGCTTCAACACACGCTCTGTCACCCGAGATCAGCGTACCGCGAGCCTGATTCCAATTGCTCCGAACTTGCTGCGCAGTTCGCCCCCCACCCCCTCTTCGCAAGCAGGAGGTTGGGTGGAAAAATATAGTTCCAAAGGGGGTAATGATCAAGCTTTTCCTCTCGGAAGCCTGCGCCACCTCATTTCCCATCAGTAATCCCAATAAAATTAACGTCGAGGCTGCAATTGAAAAGAGGAGGGCCCGCGACACTCCTGAAATAACACATTCTCCCCCAGCAAAAGGTAAAAAGCAAAACGGCCCTTTGTTCAGCTAATTAACGAAGGCCCAACTCTGAAAGCAGATGTGTTTGCTTAGCTAATCACAAGCATGTTTCTTTCAAGGAACGTCATTTCGAGGGGGCCGCTTCGGGGAGAGATAGAAAGGGGGCCAGCGACCCCCCAGCTCCTCTCTGCCTTGAGGGTCCCTCACCCAGCCACATACCCAGAGGCTGGATCCAGGCAGACCATCTCACACCTTTCCACCCTCAGCCCTACCCTAGAGGCCCAATAAGGCTCCTCCGTACTTGCCTGAACACCAGGACCGCAAGTCGCAATGTAAATAAATAAATAAAAGTTTCAATGACACAGATGCCACATTGAATGAAGCACTTTTACAATTCACTTTGAATAGGACGCTAACTTATTACAACTGTGTTATCAGAAAGACGATAAGATTTATAACTCTGAGAGTCAGCTTTGCGCCTTAATGACAATGGATGTTAAGGAGAGGAAATCTGTTTTCTATTAGAGAAGATGAGAGTCCCTTCCCCGTTTTCAAGCATTTACAGATGCGTCCAGGCCGGCAGATACCAAGTCCCTTTGTCTCTCCATATGAAAAAGCTTCTCCCTTTCCCCTTTGGATATGGAACCGGGTGCCCGTGCAGGGTTAGCACCTCGCTAAAAGCTTGAGCTTGGGAAAAAGAAGAAAGGGAGAGAGAAAGGAGAATAGAAGTGAGGATGGGGGTGATTTTTCTGGGGGGGGGGGCGATTCTCAGCCCTTCAGTTCATGCAAAAGTATTTCCCTGTCTTTCACTGCCATACAAAAGATGGCTTTCCCCTAAACCACCACTGTAAGCAAACTTTAAAAAACGGGGGTCCTATTACAAACCAACGCCCAGCACTAACTGCTTTAAAATTACTGCATAATTAGATTTAGTTGAATTTCACCATTAATTAGGCAGTCGCACTGCAGGGAGCCTTTGAAATCTGAGAAAATGGGAAAAAATCATCTAAGCACGTTTTAAAAACCCAACTTCAATAAATCTTGACGAGGCCTGGAATTCACTGAGTACCTCGCTCCCCTCCTGGGCGGCTGAGGAACTGGGTTCTTCAGGCCGGGGCTGGAGCTGGCATTGGACTGGGGGTGGGGGGAACTCCCTGGTCCAAGAGTGGCCCAGCCCGGTCCCTGTCCCTGCAGAGGTCCTTGGAAGACCTTCTCTGGGAGGTCAGGTCTGTCCCGGCCACCCTCGCCCTCTCAAACTCATTAGAGAAAGGGGGCTCCTCCACTGAAGGCGCGCCCCTGCCAGGGGGCTGTCCATGCGGGCTCACATATTCTGGGGCCTGCGACCACCCGCCCGGATCTGCCTTCAGCCCCCACGCCTATAACTTTGACAAGCAAGCAGCAAGTTCTGCCCCGGTCAGGCAGGGGTCGCAGCCAGGCGCCCACCCTAACCCCGCCCGCACCACCCCCGCGCAGCCCTTAGCCTTTAATGGGCGCGACCACTGACCGAGGTCTGTCCTCGCTTCTCCCCCTCCCGCTAGACTATTCAAACATTAGTAAGATCGTTTATGGTTACACACTTTTAATTTTTAAATCTGGTTCTTGGAAGGGAAAGAGACGTGAATTCGTCTCCCGGATATTTGCGAGGAGGGGGCGGGGAGAAGAGGATACTGCGCTACCAATATTCCCCCCCATGAACTCTTGCGGATTTCATTACAGAATAATCAAGCACTGCACTCACTTGCCAGCCAAGAGTTTAAAAGAGGGTTTTCTGCTTGCAGACAGAATGGCCTTTAGCCGCCCCCCGCCCCCTCCGCTTTTCTTTTCTTTTCTTTTTTTTTCTTCTCTTTTTGGGAGCCAATGTGTTTCCGATTACCCCGCCGGGCCGGGCCTGGCAGCCGGCGCTCGCGGTGCACTGGGAGACGCCATGTTGGCTGCGCTCAGAGGACCAAGTCAAAAGCGAGCTGCAAGGCCGAGTTTCACACGCTCCGGCTCCCCACGAGCGCCCCCCGCCCTCACCCCCCGCCCGTCACCGCTTCATGCCCATCCGCTGAGTGCAGCCCCGCGCACCGGCACCCAGGACTCTCCCCGGGACGCGGGCAGGATTCCGCTCCGCGTAAGCTGGGGGCGGGGTGGGGGCCGGCACTTTCCTGCGGCCGCTGCCAACTCCAGGCCCCTGTCCCCGCCGCCGACCGGATGCAAAGCTAGAGGTCGCCGCGAGCCCAGCCCCGGACGGCGCCCGCTCACTTCGCGCCCTGGCCCCTCGCGGCAAAGGCAGAGCGAATAGTGAAAGGCAGAGGCCAGGCGGCCGAGAGCCGAGGGAACAAGCTAGAATTCTCCGCCCGCCCCCCCACTCCACCCCCGGCTCAGTCATCCCCCAGGTCTGCTTGAAAGTGGCGAAGAGCAGCGATCGCCCCTCTCTCTCTTTCTCTCCTAGGACTATTGTTGCATTTCGCGTCTAACTGGGTTCTCTCACAGCCCCGAGCGCCAAGAGAAGCGGTGGGGAGAGGGGTTGGGAAAAGAAATAAAGCGAGCTCAGATCAGAAAGGGGGGAAAAAAAAACTAGCAAGGAAAAAGAGACACTTAAAGGGAAAGAGTCGCCATGTTTAGCAGCTTTTTAAAAAGATCTCGTCAATTTCACACAGAACGCACTCGCTGGGTCCCAGCCCTCGTCTTTTGTCCAAATCAGTCGCAGCAAAGATCTTTTGTTCTAACTCAGCATGAAAAGAAAAACTTTCTTTAAATGCAATAAACTTAAACCGAATTCAAGACTCCAAACAGATCCTCCTCCGGCCACTCTAAACACATACAAGGGGTTTTGTTTTAACCGTTTGAAAAATTTTGAATCCTATTTTATTGCCTCGCAGACCTCCACGCTCATTGCTGAAACTTAGAGGGAGTGAGAGAGATTTCCAACATCTAGAACACATGCTTAAAGCATAATAAAACAGGGACTGTCTTTTGCTTTGAAAATCATAAATTATAATTTAATGCCAATAATAATTTACAACAAATGGCTGTTTACAATAAACTAACACAAAACAAACAAGGCAAAGGGCCTGTGTTTTACTTATTAGAGAAACTTCACACACTCACATGGATACCACTTGCAAGAGGGGAAAATAAACAACACCCGACAAAACCTCGATCTAAAGGTCAGCTATATTCTGCAATAAGAACATACTTATATTTATATATGTATATATCCACAGAAAGAAGCTGAGGGCAAAATGGAAAACTGCTCAAATGCACAAATCAGACAGATTTTTCTGATCTACATGTATTGTGTGGCACTGAGTATCAAAGTTCAATACAGTTTGCAAAATGATCCCTTTTCTTTCACCTCCCTCACCCCACTCCCTTTTTAAATGAAACCACAACATAGTGAAGTATGGGGGGGCTGGACAGGCTCAGTAAAAAAGAAAATTGCAAATCTCCCAGGAACTGAGCTTCCTCCAAACCAGGAAAAGAGAAAAGGATGGGAGGTCTCTGAAACAAAATAGTTACTACTTCCAAATCAGCACACCCTGCAAAGTTTCCCTTTCTTTCTCTTTTTTCTCTTAATTTGGCTTCTAAGGATAAAGGATCCCAAGAGCAGTGCAGATTGTATCTATACAATCTGAAATGTCAAAATGCGATGTATTTTTATGTACATAACTCCAGTGGAAAAGATTCCTTTGACCCGTGGTCATACTCTCACAGACCAAGGTAAAGGGGGGAGGGGACAGGCAGCCCAACTGCAAGTTATCACATATACATGAAAAAACAGACCCTTTAGCGCTATCAGCTACATCACTGGATCTGAAATTTTCTCAACAACCACACTAGATAAGAACCACAGAATACTTTAAAAAATCACACCTACTTAAGGAAAAACTCACTGTAAACAACTGCTTTCTATTTACAATGCTGTGATTAGCTTGAACAATTTTCTGTGAAACTGTCAGAAATGTACAAAAGAGTATTTTTTTATGATCATAAAATAGATACTGATCTCAAGATTTCTAATACTTCTCACAATACCTTCCCTAAGTAGGCACTTAAGTGTGACAGATATAAGGGCCCCCTCCCTTTTTTTTTTCCTGGAAAATCTATTTTTAATTAAAAGGAAGATTAGGTAAATGGGAGTGGTTTGTTATATCAGTATAGCACTTCCTAAACCATAGATAAACCATTAACTTTAACTCCCACCCCCATACACACCCAAATTAAACAGGCAAATACACTAGTCCACCTTTGAACAAAGTGAGGGGAATAATCAAATGGAGCCCCCAGGCAGCTCATCCAGAACTCATAAGGACTCTTCATGGATAGACAGTGAGTGGGGACAGCCAAACAGGTTTCAGATATCAAATAATATTTTAATTTCTGAATACTTTCAATTTTCCTTGGAATATAACACACAAAGACTCGACCAAACAGTTCAGTTATTATAACTTTTACAGTATACAGAAATGTTGCACTTAAAAAAAAAAACCTTCAGTTTTTTTAAAACACAAACTGTAAACTCTAAGATACTGAATCAATCACGTTACCTATAAGTGCCAACAGTGTTATTTTGTCATGCTGATTTCAATGGTATTTTTTTTTAAAAAGGGAAAATATCAACAATTATAATACAAAGGGTTTGCAAATATACAAACAGATAGAGGATTTTCATAACAATTCAAGAACTAAGCGGGGACCCAATTCAAATTACAAAAGTTCACTTTTTATTCAAAACCTCAGCATGTGTCTTGGACACATTCCTTGGCTGCCAATAAATTCCACAGTTCATTCTCTTTCTTAAAATATTTTTAAAAAGCTAGGTTTGTTGTGGTGTCTTTTTTGGGGCGGGGGCAGGGTAGGGGAAGTTAAGTGGTGTATGTGGTTCCTCCAGTTCTCTAATTAGAGGGCTCAACTTCACCTAGAATTTTTGGTCACCACTTGTAAGTGCGTTTCCATCATCTTTGAGTTGCTTTTAAAGTTTTATGTCTTCCTATGATATTTTCATGGACTCAGTTTTAATTCTTGCAGAACATATATTTTAAGGATACATAGTTTTTAAGAAGCCAAGATTATATCAAAACTTATTATAGAACCACAGAATAAACTGGTTTGGAACCAGAAAAGTACAAAAAAGAACAGCTAGAAGTACATAGACACAGGACAATTAATAATTTGGAAAAAAAAAAAAAAGACTTACTTTCTCCATTCTGCTAATTTTCTCCCAATCTCCTTAAATGCACTTTTAGCAATATTTTTCAAAAATTTACCAAAAAAAGAAAAAGACTAATTTCCTTTTTTATACAAAAATGATAAGTAGCAAGTTGTTCTGACCGACACAGGAGTTTTTTGTTTGTTTTTTAATGCATTCTGTAAAAGTTCATTTGACAGTCTTTTTTTTTTTTTAAATTCACAGTCCATTAAATTCTTCCCCTCTCTTCTTTTAGCAAACTTGTAACATCCTTTTATATCCTTTCTTAACAGAAGGAATTTAAGCAAACAAACCAGTCTTTTGCCTTTTCTTTCTCTTTCACTCCCCTTCTTATTTTGATTGATTTATTTATTGAATCGCCATATAAGGCCAGTTAAAACTGCTGCCAGACAGTAACATATCCCGGATGAGGGTTTCTATGGGGGTTTTACCTACCAAACGGACGAAAAACAATTGCTCTATGACTGAGGAGGAGACCGTGCGGAGGGAAGGGAGACGAAGCAAAAGCTTTCCAAATCGCGTTGGCTGGTTGGGGTACTGGCTCCTAACGTATTCTTCCAAAGCACACTGGGACTTTTCCTGCAAGCTTTCCACATGGGCTACATCAGAGAGACCACAGGCATCTGGAAGAATTTTAAAAAAAAAAAAAAATGAAGAAAGAAAGAAAGAAGAAGAAGAAGAATTCAGTCATCAGATTAAGAGGTTTGAAATGGGTCACATGAGGTGTGCGCACAGTACTCTGTCAAACTGCTCTAACCGGAGTTCAAGCAAATGCCTATGTACTGAAACCTTGTGTGTGGGGTGGGGGGAGAAGAAGCCTGAGATGGTCCTGGGGTGTTTATTTCAAAATAAAACACAGCGCAGAGTGCTGCAGGGGTTTACTACCCCATCCTTAGGGTAGGTCATTGATAGGCCCAAGTAAAACTGCATTGGGTGAATCTGGCCCAAGTCAGTAAACAGACAAACAGACAAAACCAAAACTGCCAGGGCTCCTCCCCCTCCTCCTCTGTAAATAATAGTTTGGCTTATAATTATATGGGGGGGGGGGCAACCTGGCCCAGCCTGGAGTAATGGCGTCCAAGACCCAGCCTTAGATTCTGCCCAAAGAGGGCGACTCATTTTTCTCCAGTCTTTGAAACTGATTTAAGTGGCCCTTTAAAACTGATCTTGTCAGTTTAGCCTATTGAAGGGCAGCCATGCAAACTGTGATCTCTCTGTTCATTTGAGCTGTTTCTGTTCCCCCCTTTTCTTCTCTCTCTCTTTTTCTCCCACACCCCTTCAGCTTTTTTTTTTTTTTAACTAGGTCCCTCTAAGAAGCACCCCTCCCCGTTATCTTCAGGAAAACACTTTTCTTTTTCTGATACGTGAAAATACAATAAGTGCCTTTGAAATGAGAGGCTTCTCTGCAAAGGCGGTGCAGGTTGTGACCTGACCTTCTGGGGCTCCCAAGACAAGACTGGGACTAACACATGCATATTGTGAATCATTAAAACAGAGATTTGAAAACAGTCACCACTACCTCCACTATAAGGATCTGAACACACAGTCAACGTCCTCAGTGTGTATCTAGGACCCTGCATGTCTGCGGAAGGCATAGGTGTCTTTGGTCAGGAATTAAAAAATCTGTTTGCACAAGACTCCTTCACTCTGTATGGGTACTGTGTGTCTCCCCTCTGAATCAGATAACAGGAACCTTTATCTCTTTGTGAGGTGATTTGCATTCTCCACACAGGCCTCCACATTTTGCAAATAGTAATAAATTAAACTGTTACGACAGCATCAGGCATTTCTTTCTTTGAAAGACCAAGGGTAAGGCTAAGAGCTAACAATGATATCAAGAAATTCACCACCTTAGCGCCTGGGAAGGAAGGCTGTCAGGTTGTAGGATGGGGGAGGGGGGGTTGGCTTTAGGGCAAGGGAGTATTCTGTCTGTTCATTTGCATCAGGAAAATGCCTTACATATGACAGGTCCCCAATGAAAAGAAAATCCAGATCTAAGTTTCTGCATACAGCTTTACTGCCCAGACAGTGCCCTCTGACTGATTACCTTAGGACTTTTCCAATAAGCAGAATCTGGAGTAGCTATGGTGGGCAAATTTAGATAAAAAGCAATTTATAAAGGACAGCTACTTGAGGACTCAAAACCTGGAATAGATTCAGCTAATGACTTGGTTTTCTAGACTTCCTTTGAACAATAAGGTGGAGGCTATGAACCTTCTTTTTATTTTTCACAGAAATTACACTTCCCTCCTAGTTTTCCTGATTACAGGCTTAAAAAACTGCAGTGGGTGACTAGGTTCCAAGCCCTGCCAATGTCCAAATGTTTGTCATTCTTGATCAGGAACCCCTCTCTCCTCTCAGCCGTGACAAAGGGATCAGCTGACAATTTAGTACAAGACTGTGAAGGGGTGATTTCCACCCACCTGGGCTGTGCTGAACTAAGCCGGGTGGCAGCCAAGAGGCTCAGGTGTGGCCCGAAGTGGGAAGCCAGACACCTCCAAAAATCATTTGGCCTCAAAAGTTAATTAATATCAGATGTATTACTCACACAGGTTAAACTACATGCAAACTAATTAGATTTCATAATGCAGTCAATGATGGTTTTATAACTCCAGCAACATTTATATCCAGCCCAAGTTGGCATACACTTTGGGGTGTTTGAAAATGCCTTAAGTGTTTGAGCAGAGGAAGCAAGGGCCTGTAATCTTTGACCCCCTACAGCCATTCTAAGAGTGATGATGTCCCCTTTCCTCCTCTTGTTCCTTACAGAAAGCCTCTGCCTTTCCTTGGCAGTCAGCATTATTTTAATAAGGATGTGACTGAAAATTGCTGCCCTCGTGTTGGATTTGCCTGGAGCTCCAACTCCTACTGAGTTAACAGGCATACTTTCCTCCTGCAGGGGCCAACTTTTCCTTGCAGGGAAGATGCTAGGGCTGCTTCAGTTCCCTGGGGCTTGTCCTAGAGGGCCAGCCAGGGTGCCAGAGAGAACCACAGGGTAGAGAAGATTCCCCTGGCCCAGCTGGATTTGAGGGTCTGGACTAAGGGAAGGGAGCAGGAGGATACAACCCAATCTTTCTACTAAAGGAGGGAAAGACCGCAGAGAGGCTTTCCTATGGCCCCTTTTTTAGAAGGGGGGAAGCTGCATCTCAAGGACCCCCTCTGCAGTCCAGCCTTCCTCCTGTCTCCCCAGGACAGGCCTGGTGGGGCCCAGCAGCTGTAACAAAGTTTTCACTCCAAGTTGCACTCAACAGTTTGAACTTGCAAGGAGGCTGGGGAATCTCACGTTCCTGGGGCCCTAAGAAAGGGCTAAGAACCTTGAGCAGGTGGACCAGGATCTGGCCTCTGGCTCTCGGAAAATGAAAAGGGCAGGGCTTCTTCCTACCTGAGGTGAACAGGACTATGGCCTTGAGGCAGCTGTACTCGGCGGAGTCGACGTGCAGGGCCTTGAGCTTCTCCACTTGCTCTTGGAAGATCCGTATGTGGTCCATAAAGGCGACCACCCGGTCGGCAGACATGGGCGAGGCGTGCAGGCCGGCAGCGGCCAGGAGCGGGGCAACATGTAGGGGCATGGAGCACTGTGCCGCGTTCAGCACGAACAGCTCGCTCCAGGTGAGGCGAAGCAGGGCCACCTGGTCGGTGATCTGCAGGTCAGGGAAGAAGGGGATGTTCCGGGCCCACTCGACGGCGCTGAAAAGCATCCGAGCGGCCAGTTCGCAAATGTTCTCGATGCCCATAATGTTGTTGGGCTGCATGCACTGGCTGCCGAAGCGCGACGTGGGATAGGGCTCGGCACGCAGCAGCAGGGAAATATATCCGGACAGGTACGAATGGCAGTTGAGGGGGTCCCCGTTGGTCAGCGCGAACTGCCCGTGGGTCGGCTGAGTGGGCGGCATCCTGCCTCTCTGCACCGCTGCGGGGAGGAAAGGAGATATCCCATAGTTAATGACCTGTCTTGGGCCCCCAGCTCCTATGGCGGGGTCATCCCCCCTCGACCCCACCAGCCCCAGGCTCACGCCGCTCATGGGCCAGGCGGGCCTGCCGGCTTACCAGCGCCCCAGGGCCACAGCCTTGTGAGTCGCTTGCTCCCCTGTGCTCCAACCGCCACCCAGGCAGGCTCTGCTGGGCAGAGCTGCACACTTGCCTCCGAGGCCCGCTCGGGGCTGGGCCACCAAGGACCCGGAATTGGCCACTTTGCCTCGAGGTCCCTGGCTCTGTGGGCAGGATGTAGCATTCTAGGGGCATTTTTTCTCTTTGCTACTAAACACCTAATATCTCTTATTGATTGGAGGAGAGGGAGCAGGAGGGGCGAGTCTGGGAGGTTGGGTGCAGACGCTTTTGCAAAAGACACAAGGATTCACCCCAGACGGCCTGTGCTACCACGGCACTCTCCCCTAAAACCCTCAGCCCCAGTGGAAGTCCTAGCCCAGACCGGCACCCTCTGTGCAAGACGCGCGGAGAGCCGAGGTCTGGCGTCTGCCTGATCAATGTGCTCTGAGGAAGCGAGACCGAGGGAGAGGGCGGAAAGAGAGGCCGGCCAAGGCGAGAGGAAGCCGGGGAGAGGTCGGGAGGAAGCGGCCAAGGCCGGCGGAGCTCGGGCAGGGCCCGCGAGGTCCGGGGAGAGCCAGCGCGCCTCGGACTCTGCTGTTATCTGACGCCGGACGGGGAGAGTGGCTCGCGCCGAAACACAAAGAAAGCCCGGAGATCCCTCGCCCCAGCCCCGAGCCCGCGCCCGGCGCCGAGCGCGCCATTGGCAGAGCCCGGCTCGCGGCGCTCAGCGAATTTCGATCACAAAGACCCAACTCGCGCGGAGCGAAAGCTGCGCCACCGCGGGCTCCTCGCCCACCCTTTCCCCACTCCCTATCGCGTTCTCTTCCTTTCAAAAGTGAAAGGAAAAAAGCAAACAGTGGTATTTTTTCAAGCAGAATGTTAATCCACGGAGGGTCACATGAGCGCTGCCTGGGCAGCAGCGTTAATACGGCCAAGTGCATAAAATTGCCATTTGTAATTTGAACCTCCTGTACAAAAGCACAACCTCAGGTTTTTCTTTTTTTTTTTTCTTTTCTTTCCTTTTTTTTTTTTTTTTGAGAGGGTGGGGGCTGGGAAGAGGGGTGGGGAGGAGGAACGTACGTTGGACATGCAGGAAAAACAAGCCGAGAGAGGGAGAGATTAAAAGAGAGAGGTAAAGCAGGTTTAAAACAAGCCCCCCTAACCCCAAACACCATCACCCCATCCTTTGCAGAAAGGCGAACTCGACTGAACTCGCAATCAATGCAAGAAAATGGAAACAACCCAGAGAGAGAAAGGCGAAGAGGAAGAGAAACCAGCCGGCCAGTGCATGCAGATTTGGGATTCTGGGTTCCAGTGATGAATTCGCTTCTAGTAGAAAACCCCTTTTGGGTGCAATACGAAGAGCAGAGCTTGGGAGTTCTGGCTCCTTACCCAGAGCAGGCTAGCCAAACGCACCCAGGGCCCCGGGACCCCGGGCGAGGGGGAGGGTTGGTGGTAAGAAATGAGAGGCCAATACCTTCCCGTCTCATGCCCACTTTGAGGCACTTTTTGAGGCGGCAGTACTGGCACTGGTTGCGGTGGTGCTGGTCGATGGGACAGTTCCGGTTGGCGCGGCACGTGTAGCTCAGGTTCCTCCGCACGCTGCGCTTGAAGAAGCTTTTGCAGCCCTCGCACGTGAACTGGCCGTAGTGCTTGCCGCTCGACTTGTCCCCGCACACCACGCACTCGATGTGTTGCTGCTGCTGCTGCTTGTCGCCACCCGGGCCACCAGGGCCGCCTTGGCCGCCCGCTGCCGTCTGGGCCGGCGTACTGGCCGGGCCCCCTTGGCCTGGCGTCTGTGGCGTGTGTGGGGCGCCGGGCGGCGGGCCGGGCACTGGCGGCGCCTGCGAGGCCTGGCTGCTCTGGGAGCCGGGTACCTCATCCTGGGGGTCGCGCCACGTGCTGACTACCATTGCCATATCTATGGGGGCCGCGTCCGGACTTCCTGCTCCCCTGGCTGCGGGCGGCGGCGGGGCGGCGGCTCCCGGGTCTCGGGCTCCGGCGTGCCGCCTTTTGTGTGTGCGAGGGTTCGAGAGGGCGCAGGAGGGCGCACCGGGTAGCTCAGGGGCTGGTTGGTTGAGGTTAGTTAGTTTTTCCTTTTTTGTTTTTGTTTTTGCAAAGTTTTGTCGATTGCTTGTCTGGCCCGGTGTGTTTGTTTTGTTTGTTTCCCTCGGCTCAGCTTTGTTGGTTTCGGGGGGCTTTCCGCCGGGAGGGGAGGGGAAGGGGACGGGGGAGAGCTAGTGGGAGCAGAGCGTGGAGAGAGAGAGGGAGGGGAGGGAGAGCTGCAAGTCGATTGTCTGGCTTCAAGACAGAAGTAGGAGGCAAAAAATATTTCCAAAGCTCTAGCTTGCTCGCTCTCACTCTCTCCCTCCCTCTCTCGCTCACTCTCTCGCTCTCAGAGCTGGTGTGCAGCCGAGGAGTTAGAGAAGGAGGAGGAAGAAAAGGAGCAGGAGGAGGAGGAGGAGAGGCGACTGTCCGGGGGCCAAGTCCAGGGCAGCCCACAGTCAGCCATTCAGGAAAGCCATCGAAATCAGGAGGACTAGAAGCGCGGAGGCGCCGGGTGCGGGCGCGCCCAGGGAGCGGGGCAGGCCGGGGCGGAGGCCGGCGGCCCGCGGAGTGGCGGAGCGCTGCCCGGGTCCGGGGGAATCAGCATGAAAGTGGTCCGCGTCGGGCGCTACGCTGCGTCGTCCTGGCTCTGGGCCGCCGCCGCCTGCTCCGGGCGTCCAGTGCGCGCCCCGCTCGTTCCGGCCACCGCCGCCTGCTTTCGCCGGGTGGAGGCCGCTCGCTGCTCCCTGCGGGC